AATCAGTGAGGGGATTCTGCAGACTGTTGAGGGTTCAGCCTCCTGATGAGTCGGTGAAACTCCGACGAAACAGTTTGTCACAGCCCCTCGTTTGTTGTCCTCTTCTCTCTTTTTGCCTACAGTTTTGTTTGCGACGATGTATATATGCAGGGTTACCTGACTGAACGTTCGGAGGGCCCCAGGCTTGCCCCCAAACGTTCGGGCGTTCGGAGTCCCGTTCGGGGGCCGAACACCTCCAGGTCCGGCCCCCGCCAAAAAATATTTCGGGGTCTAAAAACAAGTTTTGTTTTCTGAAGTTTTTTGTGTGAGTTCTCTATGACGTAGCCTACACGCCTATAAATTTTGAAGCCATTCTACTTAGCTAACAAAACATTAAAAACCGTCAAAGATGGGGGTGTCAAAACGTGCTCGCCCACTCACTATTTTGTTTTTTTTCACTTTTAACTTTTTGTTTTTACTTTATTTCAGGGCCTAAACAATTTCATTTTTTTAAAAAATATTTTTAATTAGTTATTAATTATGTAAACTACATATCTGTAAATTGTCAGGGCATTTGTCAATGCCAAAAAATAATTAAAATCAGCAAAGATGAAAGTGTCGAAAAGGTGCTGGCACACTCACTCATTTTAGTTCTCTTTTTATTTTTTCTTATTTTTATCATAGTGTTTATTTTCTGTATTGGATTTTTAATTCAAATTTGGTAAGGAATTTGGATGTGGTGCCCAGGCAAATGCTCTTTAGTTTATTTGTCTCCGTAACATAGTCTTTTTATGGAATTTTTTTAAAATTTATTTGTCTCCATAACATAGTTTTTTTTCGGAATTTTTTGAAAATGTTGTTTTTTTTTTTGTTTTTTTTTTTTTGGTCTGCGTTCACCCCGAACGGCCGAACACCTCCCGAAGGGGTCCCGTACGTTTGGGCGTTCGGGTTCGGGCGTTCGGCCCGTCCCGAATGACGGTAACCTTGTTTGTGACGATATATATATACAGGGTTACCTGACCGAACGTTCGGGGGCCCCCGAACGTTCCGGCGTTCGGGGTCCCGTTCGGGGGCCGAACACCTCCAGGTTCGGCCCCCGCCAAAAAATGTTTCGGGGCCTAAAAATAAGTTTTTTTTTCTGATTTGTTTTTTGTGAGTTCTCTATGATGTAACCTATACGCCTATAAATGTTGAAGCCATTCTGCTAAGCCAAAAAAACATTAAAAATCGTCAAAGATGAGGGTGTCAAAACCAGCTCGCCCGCTCACTATTTTGTTTTTTTTCACTTTTAACTTTTTGTTTTCACTTTATTTCGGGGCCTAAAAAAAATATTATTTTTTGAAAACAAATTAATGTGTTATTGATTATGTAAATTACATATCTGTAAATTTTCACGGCATTTATCCATGCCAAAAGATAATTAAAAATCGGCAAAGATGGCGGTGTCAAAAAGGTGCTGGCACACTCACTCATTTTAATTCTCTTTTTATTTTTTCTTATTTTTATCATAGTGTTTATTTTCTGTATTTGGTTTTTAATTCAAATTTGCTAACAAATTTGGATGTAGTGCCTAGGCAAATGTTGTTTAGTTTATTTTTTTCCATAACATAGTTTTGTTTCGGAATTGTTTTTTTTTTTTGATTTATATTAAAAAAAAAAAATTTCCGCGTTCGGCCCGAACGGCCAACGCCTTCCGAAGGGGTCTTGTACGTTCGGGCGTTCGGCCCATCCCGAACGCTGGTAACCCTGTATATATATATAGAGACGCTTGTATATGAGATGTAAATATATCTCATTGAGAAATTTGAAAGGTGTTAGAAAAAAATCGAAATATGCTTTCATTCATTTCTGAGCGGATTTAGCGGACTATTTCTTCTCTATATCATGATGGCTGGTAGCAGGGCTGCGACGTGTTGGGGGGTTCGTATCCTTGGCTGCTGCCGTCCGTAAGTGAGAGGGAGGAAACTTCACAAAAATCGTTCATGTGAGATATGTAGAATTGTTTAAATGAAAGAAGTAAAGAATGAGTAATCATACATCTTACCTAAAACAAGAAGGAAAAGCAAAAGGAAAAAAAAAAAAAAAA